TGACTCTTGTTTGAAGCCCTTCTCTAAAAAACTGAAAACCTGTTTCCTTAGTACAGATATACTCCGTACCAAACATGCAAAAAAGTGCCACACTTGTTTCCAATTTGTCAAACATGTATAACAGTCCAGTTTTTATGATGATTTTTTTGGTAAGAGCACACATTTAAAACTCTAATACTAAATTAAAACTATAGAGATATACAAGTATGATATAATTTGTTTAATATTTAAATATCTACTGTGTGCTTTATATTTACTACTGTACAACTTTAGATGGAAAAACAAGTTGGGCCTCCATTGAAGTGGTAGCTAGTGCAGAAACCTAAAAAAGGAAAAAAAACTAAAATGAACAACAAATTGGCATTCAACACTTGATAGCAAACCAGTTGAAAGGTCTTGTACGTTTAATGAACCACATTCCTTATTTTCTATTTACGTGAAGGGGAGAGCATATTCCTTTTGTAAATGAGGAAAAATGGGGGATTTTGAAACTAGTTTTGTGAAAAGGTGGAAAGTGCTCACCTGAAATTTTTCTGCATTTTTAGGTTATGCGCAATATACTTAAGTGAGTCAATTTTATGATTTTTATACATAAGTATATCTCATAGTTTTTTAAATAAAAACTAACACACATATTGGTAATTTTATCTATATATGTGAAATAAGTTGATAATTGTATATATCAAAGTTAAACGACTCTAATTTTATACTAGTACTTCTTAGATATTTAGCATTGTTTATAATATAAAAACACCATTAAATATATAGTTTATACTACACACACATAGTGGTAGTTGATGCACACACATACTAGATACGTACTTGATATTAGTTTATGTATAAACGATATATATTTCATTATTCTTCTAATCAAATTCATAATTATGTGTATTTTCATTTGAAAGTTGTTTGAACAAAAATTCTGATTTGTATTCGTATTTATATTCTATATTTTCAAATTTAAATCATTATTTATGAATCCAAATCACGAATCGAATTAAAATTTATAATACTTCAGATTTATTACCAATTGGTTTGGAATGTGTATGTAAATGTACATAGAGGCTATACTTTAAGACTATGTTGCACGGATACGCCGATACGCGGATACGCAAATACGGGTACGACGATACGACAATTTAAAAAATTATAGGATACGGGTACGGGGGTATATTTATAAATAATAAAAATATAGGGTTTAATTTGCAAATATATATAATTCAAGGATTCATAAATAAAATAACTATTGTACAAAAAATAACTATTATAATAAAATTTCAAAGATTAGGCTAGAAAATCTAAAGTACTGTTATTTTGATTTAAATTCAAATAATTTTTTTTTGTTTTCTATTTGCATTTACATCTAAGTTTTGTTTCAATTAAACTTCATCAAGCGATAAAATGACAATTTATAGTATTCCATATTTTTTCATACTCCCGAAATCATCTTTATCAACGTTCCGCATCTTGTGGTCGCTTGAACAGCTACTAAGTTTTCGTCATGTCGTTTACGAAATGAGGGTTATAGGAGCGGATACGCGTATCGGATCACGGATACGGGTATCGGAAGTATCAGGATTTTAAAAAATAAGCCCGATACTTTTATTAAATTACGGATACGGACCCAATACGTACAGGACACGTATCGGTGAGTATCGGTATCGGATACGTATCGGATACGCGGATACAGCATCTGGGTGAAGTATCGGTGCACCTTAGCTTTAAGAGTATAGCTAGCTTTTAAAAGTTATATATTATAGGCTATACTTTTAAATGCATAGCTAGCATGTTAAAGTACATACAGGCTATACTTTAAAGAGTATAGCTAGCATGTAAATGTATAGCTAGCATATTTATTGACCCCCCTTGAGGTTTGATGCATTATCAATCACACCCCTGTTCGATGCATTATCAATCACACTCCTCGTTATTGGGCATCTTTCCCTCGTTACAAAAGTTTCACCAAGATTTCTACAATTTCGAATATATTTTCAAACTTTTTAAAGTAATAGAGATTTATTGTCTTAAGCTTGACCTTTCGATTGTGTCTGCTACTAGTCCTATAGTTGTACTCACATGTAGATGTAGTTATGTACCTAATAAATTTGTCAAGGGATATTTCATCATAAAGTACGCCTTCCCGCAACAAAAGTATGTTCCGGTGGAAAGATTCTTTAGTACTTGTAAATTTATTAATTATCGGATTAAATTTGCAAGTGAGTAAATTTATAAAACTAAATCCATACTTTTGCTAAACATAATTAGGATTTTAAACTTTCATTAAAGGATATGGAGGGGGCAAGTGCATATTTTTAATAGTGCAGGGGTCTGGGTGATAATATGTGAAACTTCGAGGGAGGTCAATGATAATTTACCAAACTTTTAAAAGTATAGCTAGCATGTAAATGTACATATAGGCTATACTTTAAGAGTATAGCTAGCTTTTAAAAGTTATTATAGTGTTATTACTACTATATTGCTATAATGATTAATACTATCACTATTATTAATCAAATATGTTTGATTTAACATTTGAATCAAATATACTATTATGTATTTGTATTTGATAACAATTCGAATCAACTTAGTATTCTTATTTGTATTTGTGTTATTATTTTTTGAATTCGAACTATCTTACACGGATTTGAATCTCGTAGCGAGCATAAATTATTTGATTCGTATACAACCCTAGCTTCACCTGGTATAAATCCGACCTATTCCCACCCCTATTCACCTCCCTTTTAGATGTTTTCATACAAAAGGAATTCTAAAAATAAACGAATTAAATTAAAACACCATGTCAGAAATAATTATTTTATAAGAAATTTAAAAAAAATCATAAATTTGCAATAGTTTGAAAAAAAATATTGAATAACACATATATGTGTATTAGTCATGGTTAATGAATTAATACATATTAATCATAACAATATAACTAATGGCAAAAAATATGTATCATAAACGTAGTATGAGTTTTAAAAGTGAAAGATTGAGTAAATAGAACATATACATATATGTATAATATATTAATAGTATTATAATTTATAAGAAATTTGGAATGACATACACGATGGTAATATGTTTGCTAATATTTTTACTTTTATTTTTCACATAGCTTATTCAAATTAAAAAATTATAAAAAATTGGCGCTATTAACTTTTATCAAACCCGATGAAATAAAAAATTCAAAAATAAAACTGTCATGTTTATACTTCTTGAACATAGATAGCTCTCTATCGCTTTTGCCCGTCAAAACTTGCGACCATTTCTAGGGTCTTTCCCTAGCAGTTTTTACTGGCGGTCTGGCAGTGACGGTGGTCACCTTGTCCGGTAGATGTTTCCGAGCACTTGGACTTGGACTTCTGATATGTTGTTTCAGGTTTCGAGGGAAGGATGAGCAAAATAAGCTGGAATTGCATATGGGAAGATTCGGGATCGGAGAAATTCAGGGTCGATGGCGGTGATATCCTACTGGCAAAAGAAGACGAAGGGATGTTGATCCGCTCCCTTCCCGAACCGTCGCCATGGAGGAATTGTGCGACTAGGGTTCGGAAGACTATTTTATTTCAGTTTTAATTTGTTTATGTTTTTACTTCGATCTATCTCATAGTAAAAGCACATTACATAAATAGATGCAAGAAGCAATGACAAACATTCATCATTGAAAAAAAGTAGAAAATGTATACAACTCTTTCGTTTCTTGATTGTAGTGTTAAATTCAAATTCCAAATTCACCTAATCAAACTCCAATTCCACTTATACAAAATCTTATACAACTTTTGTTGTATGTGGATCAAAATAATGGAGAATCTTATACATCTTTGACAATCTAAATTCAAAGGAAAAGAAACCCGTGGAACTAATTTTGTAATGTCTTCCAACAGTTCACATCCTGCTCACTATCACCTCCCGCTCACTATCACCTGAAACATTATTTACAAATACCAACATTAACTAGCTGTGGCAATACAGATATAACTTTTTTATTGGAAGAAATTGACATACTGTTCTTTAACAATAGATTGCCATAGAACCCCACTTTTTGACTGAATCTCATACTAAGTTAACTGAAAATAAGCTTAATAAACATGCCGTATTGTTCGCCACACATAGGTACTAAAAGCACTCCGCATATGTTGTAATATTCTGCCATCACAACTTGTTTTCAACATAGTTATAAACTTATAATAATGGAAATGTGCAGTATATATGAGTTTAGAAAAAAGTAGGATTCGAAAGTTGTTTTCAGCTGTACACAATGCAGTAACGTAGGAGGACTCTCTCTTGTCCAGACTCCAGAACCATATATAAATGGTGTTTAACACAATTCCCTGGTTTTTCCCTTCACTGCTATCTCCTAATCTACCCCATTCTGATGGAAATTTTAGGAGGTTTGGTTTGGATTTGCTTTGAGACTTGCGAATAGAGCCATCCAGAACTCATTCTTGACAAAACAGGTGCCACAAATCGCTAAACAGTGACAGTTGCACCAGTCTCTGGAAGCGATGAAGAATGGCATCTAGCGAAGTTTTCTTCACCGGTAGAACTCTAGTTTGACGTTTGTATTGTTCTTGGGTTCAAATAAGCGTTCAAAACTTCAAGATGTTTCCTCATTTTTGAACAAGATCAAACATAGTATATCACAACTCTACCACCATTGGGAGAATGGGAGGTAAACTTTTCCGCCATCAACTTAAACCAGTCTTTTGCGAAGACATAGGTGCCATAGTAGAAAAAGGGCTTACAGTGACACTAATTTAGTGTCACTGAAAGTTTCTGTGACACTAAAAAAGTGTCGGGGAAAGTGGCGGCTAGTGACACTAAATATAGTGTCACTGAGCGTAAAACAGAATAGCGTCAGTATATTATGACACATTAATGTGATACAAGATTATGACACTTTGGTATCATAAGACTTTTGTGACACATTGGTATCATAAACATATACGACATACTGGTGTCACATAAATATAATAATAAGCAGGATTATATTATTTCTTTCTAATTATACATTTATACTATAGATTTTTATAAATACATAAATAACCAAAACAAAAGATCAACAATTGTTTTTATTACTCAAATTATTTTACAAAGTGTCAATATCAATAACTACGTATATTACAAGTTGCAATAAATCTACACTTTAATAATACAACATTTTTATTTGCTACACGCTAGACATCATTATTCCTAGCGTCGCCAGCGTCTTTAGAGTACTTCTTAACATCTGCTTGAATATAGCCTGCATCAAAGAATAGCATATTCAAAAGTTTTAACTTTGCAATTTTAATAATCCACAAGTTCAACAAGTACATCAACATCAAAGAATAAAATTAACACAAGTCAATATTAGAGACACTATATGCTAAAACCATCAATATTTTCAATGTTAGAGCTTATAATGATTATTATGATACTCTGAGAATAGAAACTACTAAGACAAAAAAAGATACTTCAAAATAAGTATCTGTATACTACTTCAAAAAGATATATGTATATGGAGAGGAACTTAATCACACCATGCTATAAGTATAGCAGGCCTCAATGACAATTGTGGAGTACAAATTAAACGGTAACTTTCAGAACCTGCAACCGTAATTTTTGTGAACTTTGACCATTCAAAATAAGAAATTTATTTTATTTCATACGAGGTGAACTCACTTCTAGTTATAATCAGAAACTATTAATAAATTTTAAAAATATTAAATGCCATTCTCTGTCTGCAACTGCAGAATTCACTTTTCAAAAGCAAATATGAACTGAAGAATTCCTAATTGAATTCCATTGTAAGTCTGAAAAAAATAAAAATAGGAAATTAATTTCATTTTATTATTGAATAGATTTACTTTGCTAACAATATTCGGATGAGTATTAATACATGGTACAATTGATGGATGTCATTCTCATATACAAGTGCATAATTTCCAACATTCTGAAAGCAATTGTGAACTGAAAAACCTGATGGGAGTAAGAGAATATCATGATACTTGCATCATTTCTGGAGTACATTCCTACAAGTAAATGTGAAAAATTTTATTACTATTCACATTTCTAGCTAGATAAGATCATTTTAAATACTTCTAAAAAGAGTTCTATAAATGATCTAGAAAGAACTAACTAACCTTCACCCCAATTATTCAATTCATACCAATATATACTCCTAATGTCCAGTGAAAATGAAGAATGAAGTGGGCATCATCAAAAGCCAAATAAATAATCTCATGATCAAAATACTTACCGTGTCATACATATTTAATGAACCAACTACAATGATAGCTTTTCCCTAGCTAAGATCACCAAACAGAGAAGAAAAAACATATAACCATTAGACAAGAGAATATCATGATACTTCGACAAGTACTTCGAAAATATAGAGTTCGTACATAAAACTTTGGTAACTTTAAAAAAGTGGACCTAATGACACCGTATTTCACCTTGCAATTTGCACATCCTAATAACCCTTATTATCTAATTGGAGGACAAGCTCAAGACCATACAAATAGAGGAGCGGGGCACAATAGTAAGCCCAGGCTGCCCAGCATGGTGTCTTGTGGGAGCAAAGTAGTGATTATCGGACTCATCTCAAATGCACCTTAATAATAGGAAAACAGCAACCGGTTAGAAACCAACTAAGTTTTCACCGCCGTAATATAGATAATTGGTTTACAAAATTACCCCCTTTCTCAAGAGACTGAAGTACGCATAATTTAACTCCCAGGGAAAGTTGGTGGCCAAAAAACCCGGTTAATCACTTCGCTAGCTTCAAGTTATCCATTTGCAATTTTTAAGCACGCCATTAATTCAATCTATAGTTGTTTTCCATTTTAAAATGCAAAAAATAATAAAACATACAATCTACCATCCTTCCTCATAAAAATGGTTGTGCAAGTTTATTCATCAATTTTCCTTGACACCGCAATATGAAAAACCAACAGGCCCATATATTATATTAGAAAACTAAAACTAATCAGGCACATAGATGTACTAACACTTAAAAGAGGCGGAAGGTATCATCCATCTGCCCTGAAGTTTTACGTTTTATCGCTTACTAAATACTTCTAGGCTCTAGCTTACACATTCATCTAAAACATCAAGTAATTAAAAACAGAGGGAGTATCAACCTTGCCACAATGATCTTGTGATCTTCAATGAATTCTAATCCTTTGCTTCACACTTTCCTCGTATTAGATAGCTTAATCTTGTTTCAGTATAGAGTTCAAATGATTGAAGCAGGTGAGAAGAATAAAAAATACTACCTCATTCTGTAAATAGATTTAAGGTTAGGGTATAATATTCTAAAAAAAGAATTTGGTTTCAAAATGTCCTCATTATTAGGTTAAAAACTACAAATTAAAATTAAAGCAGGTACAGATAGAGGTGTCGATTTAAAGATCGAGTACCCGCCGCTGGCTACAATTTACCTGGCATTTTTCGGCTCGTTGGTCCCAAAGCATAACAGTTCGATCAAGAGAGCCAGAAATAAAGCAATCCTTTCTGGAGCACATGCTAACCAAGACAACCCTGCAAGTAGAGTCTCAATTACAATGTCTACGCTACGTTTAGTAAGGAAAATAATGTTTATATGCTTATAAGCAGGATAGAGTTACCAAACGCTTCTCCTTTAGAAACTCAGCAGGTTTAGTCGTTTCATTTCAGCTAAATAACTGTTACCAAATAGCACGCAACCCATGTTTATATATCATAACAAAATGTTACTAGAAAATCCTTACCTTTCGTGATGGCCCTTGAAATACCGCGAATACTTGTTAACGTGCAATGAGAGAAGCCGCAGAGATTCTGAATTTATTTAACAAATAGAGTGAATTTTTGTTTTCTCCAGCTCATATACAAGGAACATCTAATGTGAATTGTTAGTCATGTGACTTACCATCCCACCTATTCTTGGAAGAATATATCACAGTTGTTGGACGGGGAGTAAAGCTAACCAGTTCAACACCATACTTCTTGCTATTAATTGTCTATAATTAAACACCCGGTAGTTGAAAAGAATAAAAGAATTATAACACTTCTAAATATACCAACCAATCGACAAAGTCAACATATAGATCTCCATGAAACACTATTTTTAAGTTAGAAACCAGGCCAAGCATGAAAGGAAACCTCATAAAAAGTTACTGAATAGTCCAAGAATGGAAACCTCATAAAAGGTTGAGATTCTTACGTTGCTGTTGTGAAAATCCAGGTAAGGTGAGGTCTTATGAAAATCCATTGAACTGATTCTTCCGTTCTGCCTAAGCAATAACGATAAGCCATCCTGCCACCTCCCCTTCCCTTTTTCATTTGATTTCTCCCGTTGAGGACAGGTGCCTAACTAGGTTTTTTTCAATTTGGAAATGGAAAGGTAACCTCTATTCTGTGGATGCAAAGAAAAAAGAATGCAATTTTTACTTTTATAAATAATATATAAACTAACCTAATCTTGCCTAACGAGATCACAACGTGACAACCTACTTTTAACCGCATGTATAAAAAAATTAACATTACCCTTATGAGATAACATTATCTACTAGTAAATCCCATACGGTAGATTTACGCCGCAGACACGACAGCCATAAAGGGCAGCAACTGTTCACACATGGAACCCTGGGTTTTCCGATTCCACGTGTTCAAAGAGAATACTCAGAAGAGATAAAGAACATCATGTGCATACCTAGAATTTGACAAAGAAGACACATGAGGATAAGTCAAGAGGCACTCTCTGATTTAGGAGATGGAGTCGCACGCTGCAGAACCAAGAAATCCGACAATCGATCGAGGAGTTAGGGTTGGTAGAAAGAAGGAAAGCGCCGAGCCGATGTAAGAAACTGGAGGGCAGTGCGGAAAAATCCTTGAAATATTTTACTCTACAGTCCGGCCCATTAGTAGAATAGCTACTATACTCTATAAAAAGTGTCGCTATGTGAGCCTGATGTGTTTTGTGAGAGAATGGTGACACTTTTGTGTTACTAGATGACATTATATCAGAAAGTGTCACTACAAAAGTGTCACTGTAAGCCAGTTTTCTAGTAGTGTCTGGTGATACAGATACAAATAAGTACATGGTATTGAAGAATCTTATGGTGCAGCCAAACTTACCATTTTAACTCCCATAATTAGTTGGATGAACCACATTATTCCAATGCAAAACAATTCCAAGAACGAACAAAGCCGGAAGCCCTTTAAAGGCTAAAGATGTCAAAAGTCCAGAAGATGGTGAAACTGGAATTCAGATCAAAAGGAACAACATCTGCTAGAATTGAGGGACTTGGGTGATTCTGGAATTGCAAGAGTGATTGTTTTATTAGTTGGTTTAAAGATAGTCTTTAGCAGCTGAAGTTATTTATGGAATGTAATTGAAGCAGCTTGTGGTTCCCATTTTATGAGCAAGCATGAAATAGCATAGCAAGTGAAGTGTAAAAGATTCTGTTATATCTTAGCAATTACAAGGCAGCGTTTGTTACAGCTGTTTCTGAAGCGATACTGCTTATTACTTTTACAAAAAGACAGTAGCTTTTTTTAGCTATGGATTCAACTTAAGTTTAAGCACTTAAAAGCTAAAAACTATATGCAAAAGTGGTGCTGTTTTGAACAGCTTTTTAACTTTTCTTTAACGTCTCACTAATAATATATCAAAAAGTACTTCTTCACAAAACACTCTAGCATTTACTTTGTAAAACTCAATAATATACCAATGAATACAGTTTCCCCAAACAACCCAATGTTTAATTTGTAAGTTATTTTTATTTGTATAAGAATTGAAAAATATAAATATTGAAGTATAAAGAACTGCATCAGATCTTCTTTTAAAATATTGAAAAATTAAAGTATCAGATACATTTAAAAAGCTTTGAAAAATAAAACTACTTACGTTTAATTTGTACTCCGTAGCAGATAGTATGTAAGTATGATGAATGTAGTAGATGGTTTAATTTTTTTCAAGCTAAGCTACAACGTTTGAGTACGGTAATTTCAATTTCTCTAATTTTTCTTTTTGTAATTCAGTGTTCAGAGTGTAGTATGAAATTCATCATAGCAGATAATTCCGGATACAATACACCCCCCTTAGTTTAGCCATTTCAGAAAATAAGGTATACGAATCGAGAAAGAAGGTTTTTTTTATCACATCTGGATTCAATGGATAGCACATGATCATGACCGCAGTATGCAGCATTTCAGCATATGACCGAGACGCTTGCCCTGTGGAACATTTATCCAGCAAAAAAGGGTCATAGCCAACAATTAACAGTAGTAAACCTAGTGAAAGATATAGTTGAGATGATCATGAACAACATCTGCAATCTTTAGAACATGTTCAAGTAGACAAGTGGCAAATTTGTATACATTGGTCCTTCACAATCACTCAACCAGGATCACATCCCCAAATAACACAAAAGTAATAACGAATGCCAATAGACAAATATAGATGAAACAATGAGGAAAACATCAGCAAGAAGAGCCATTTCATAAGGTATGGGGATTTGGAGGGATGCTATCTGGTGGCAGAAGAATAGATCATCTACCGTTGTTAACCACACAAGATACAATACATGGAAAACTACATCACAAATGAAAAAATGCAAATTCACACTACTAATTCACAATAAAAAAACGCAAATCAAACTTAGGGATAATACCTTTAACATAGAGTTCGATCATAGTTGGTGAAAAGTAAAGAATTTAGAGATGATACACCTACCTTGAATTGAGTCGCTGCCATGAAATTAGAGATGAAAATGTCGGACTTTGGTTTCTCTGGCCCTGGTTTCCCTGGTTTCTTCGTCTCCCAAACGCGCTTGAACGGTTCGTCTCTAGCTTAAAGTGTTCGTCTCTCCCTGCCTTCGCCGACGCAGCTTGACCGTATCTCCCTGCCTTCGCCGCCTACGCTGCTGTGCTAGTCGCTACCTTCTTAGCTTCTTTCCGATAAAACTGATATAGGCTGGGGAAGGACCTACTTGCAATAAACGCATTTTTTAATTAAAACGTGACCTGGACTGACTTACCTATAAAATGGTGCCAACTCATGAACGCACCAAAACATCCCATAATTTTGATGCACGGTAAAATTTTCCATGAAAGTATGACAAAGTTATGAGGAATAGAGCAAACAATTTTTACCACTTAGACGGCTATAAATTGTCTATTCAACCAATTTATTTAAATCTACTATAGAATGGATTTATGTTAATAAATGAAATAGCTCATTAACAATGTAATTATATAATATTATTGAATGAATTATTTTGCTCAATTCAGTCTACTTATACAATAAATAGTCTTATTTACAAATATCACTTAATTCATATAGACATTTATTATGCCCAGACATAATAAATGTCTGGGCATAATAAAAAACGTTTAAATGAAAAAAGTAAACAGTCCACAAAATTTATTGTCTATCGAATGTATTGACCTTAGTTTCAAGTGAGAGAATTATGAAGGGAAAAGATTTGAGAAAGAGCTCAAATAGGACTGTCATGTTTTTATTCCCAAAATAGGATTAATTACTGTCAAATTTGGAAAATACTGCCATGTTTGAAGTCTGGTACTGCCAAAACATGACAGTAATTAGTCCTATTTTGGGGAAAAAAAAACATGAAAGTCCTATTTTGGAATTTCCAAACTTTTTTAGTCCCATTTTGGGTAATATCTCATGTATTTATCATTCACCTAAAATTGGTCTGAGCTTACCGTGCAAAGTAAAAGTAAGAGGGTCCATTGGGGGTGGTTGCAACTATTGATATACTCATTGCATAATGAGGTCATTAACAATAACCGTGATATTATAGATGTATTATTTTTAATATTCGATGATTACTTTGTCATTAAAAATGCTAATTGGTTTCTAAAATAGAAATGTAAATTAAAAAATTGATATTTCATATGTCCAGCCAACATTGTCTCATTTTTTTCTTTTCGATCCGTTTCATTGAGATTATCTCATACGATGTACTAACTTTGATAAAATTTGTATGTTCTAAATTATTCTTAATTTAACAATACAATATCAACCACATAAATTTATTTTTCTTAATAAGCACATCACACCTTCATGTTTAAATGTTAGTGTAATGAAATTAAGTAATAACATTTATAAGAAAATTATCTCATATCACTATTTGATAATAAAAGAGCTAATTAGCAATGAGTACGTTTCGGATCGACAATTGTGGTCAAGGTATAGTAGAGGGTTGAGGGCCCAATTGACGAGCACCAGCTCATCCTAAATTTAAAAAATGATTGTATTTTATGTGTAAGTATTATTTGAAAAGTTTATAAAAACAGTCTTTAATTATATGTTCTTGTTTGTGTTTGATGACATTCGAAATATCAGAGTTATGGTTCACATTCGTAATTCTCTAGCATACGACGTATTTAACAGAGAAGTGTTAGCACATCATATACACTTATCTTCTAAATATCATGTCAAATCAAGTGGACAAAATAAATGGAGTTATTTGGCAACTATATAATAATATTGAGCAGACCACATGATCTTCAAAAGCGACCCATGTTATTGTATATGAGGTCGTTTCTTGGTCTGGCTATATACTCTCAGATAACGTGTGATGCTTTCTCTGTTTCTCATGGGATGTTCATTTTCTTTATCATTATGGTCATATTCACTTCTATTTTGAAAAATGGTTACTTTTTTATTCTTTTAAGAGAATTAATCGATTAAACGCCAATTATGTTCTACTTTAACAATAAAATATATGTTGACCTATTTTCAAGTGTTGTTCAATTCCTCTATTGAGGCTCTTTACTTTTTTAATTAATACCCAGCACATAAAGTTTGCTGTTTCGCAATAAATAATACTGAGTATAAAAAATTGACACAGGATTAAATAAAACTTAATTTCACAAATAGGACTAAAGCCCTAAATAGGACCAATTCATAATAAAATGTTTTAATTCATAATGAAATCAGAAAAATAAAAATCGTAAAAAAATTATAAAATTAAAAAATTAATAAAAATTAGTTAAAAGTCATAAAAATATTAAAAATATGGATGCATTTCCCACCGCCTCTATCGTCTCCTAGCACCACCACGTCTTGTCGGTCAAAAATTTCCATTTTTTGTAAAAATGCCATTTTTTGCTAAAATGCTAAGAAAATGACATTTTGCTATTTGATAAGCCAAATATTTTATTGAAAATGCCATCAATATAGTGTTACTAATGCATGTTGGCATTTTTTCCAGTGATCGGAGCTGGTGGTGTTGGGGGTGGCAGAGGCGGATATGTATTTTTTTAGGTTTTTTTTAATATTTTTTATTTTTCTTTCATTTTTATTTTTTATACTACCTCTGTTCCTGAAACAACCTTCCGGTTTGACCTACACATATTAAGGAAATAAACTTACCAGAGGGTAAATTTTACTGTTTTGACACTGTTTCGACATTGTTTAACACTGTTTTGCACTGTTTTGATGTATATAAATTTGCCATTTAAGGAAATGAGATGTTATATTAGGGACATCCAAATAAGAAAAGTGGGAAGTTGTTTCAGGGACGGAGGGAGTATATAATATTATTTTTCTAATATTATATTTTTATTAATTATTTATTTTAGTCCCACAGACCACAAGACCCAAAGACACACATACTTAGTCGTACTACAATATTTAAAACAATGTAGTCCTATTTTTTATTTTTCATTTAGTAATTCACTCTAAATAATACCCACCACAAAAGTTTATAGTTTCCAAATAATTGTTTGCATTGTTTAGATGAATTGATGCATATACTAATAATAAAGTTGTGTACACAGAAGAGTGTTTAAGATATGTACAAACAAATTCTTTCACTAAATAATTGTGTGCAAGTTTACATGGTAAAAACTTACATGTAATTACTATGATGTAAATTTGAACATATATACTAAATACTAGTAATATTTTTGTTCATTAGATTTTTAAGTGTAGTATTAATGAAATGATATTATGATCATTATCAAAATATCAACACTAACAAATTCAACAGTATACTGTGCATTACGTGTTACTGCTATAAAAGAATGCGGATAAAAACGGATTTCCGCAGTAAAAAAAAAAAAAGATCCGAGCTTCGACGGCGTCTACCGTGGACTCCTCATAACCGCTCCGTCTGGAAAGCCTCACAGATCGCTGCATTGATTTCACTTGCTTGCCACGATTCCGATCTCCGGCCGGAAGAGAACCGTTTCATTCCTCCCAAGCCTGGCGCCGGTTCAAAGCTTATCGGCGCTTCTTCTTTCATGCTCTTCCTGGATGGCCTTTCCTGCTCCTCGACCTTCGATCGACTTTCCTTTTTCTCCGGCGTTTTCTTCCCGCGGCTGTGTCCTCGGCTGGACAAGAGGACGGATATGAACCGCGAGAATCTGAATCCGGATTTCCCCTTCTCGACGATGCTTCTAGATTTCTCTAGCGAATGTTCATTCCTCGAGGCCGATTCGCGGCGACCGCGCATAGATCTAACCCTTCCAATGCACGAAACCTTCGGGGAAGACGGCTCGCCGACCGATGAATCTGACCGCCTCGGCGGGAAGAGGCGGATACTCGCCGGCTTGCTACAGCTCCTCCGCATCAAGTCAACGCTCTTCTGAGCCCTGGGCAACCCGATCATCGACCCGCCCCGAAACTTCGTGAGCCTCTGCGAACTTGACCTCGAGAGTGGATTCGAAGAAATCGGGTTCGGATTGGCGCCGCCTTTGCCCGACTCCTTGCGTTCCAGAACAGCGTTGCGGTCGAACCAATCGATTCCGTCGTCTTTGGAGAGCAAGAAGGACTCCGGAGGGAAATCTGCGGCTGCTTTCTTCTCGTCGCCGTTGACGGCGTCAAACTTTAACGATCTGTGTTCGCCGTCGGCTCTGCTGTCTGCGAAACTCTTGCGCGGAAATTCCCAGTCAGATCCGCCGCCGCCGCTGACGGAGACTAGTGCTTCAAGATCAACTGGAGGCATGGTAGATTGAGGTAGAGAGATTTGAAGATTTGCTTCTGAGCGGAACGGAACGTAACGGCCTGGATGGTGGGAAGGAAATATTGACTCTTGAACATAAGGATCGAAAATTAGGGAGTATTATATTCGTAGCAATATGGGGCACTGGCTCCCTCCCTAATGGTATGAATTAATTGGTTTAAACCGTCTGGCATGGGGCGAGGTATTGTCTCCTTTGGTTTGATATCCTATCTAGTATCTACAATATCAAGTTTGATTTATTATTGTATAAATTTTACGTTTATAAACATATCACACAATATCAAGCACACAATATTAGTTATGAGTTTTCAATTGACAAATACATGAATTCTCTCATTTGGACAAAAATAGACCTAATTGAAACTGAAATAGCTATAATGCCCCTACTTTGCTTGTTCATTCGTCGGTCACATACTCACATATCGGTTTGATTGTTGCACAACAGTCCTCATATTGCTAATAGCTTGTCTTGATAATAAAAATATCTATTTACTTACACTAGTGAGTTAAAAGGATCCGATTGTTTAATTTTTAATGTGTTAAGAAGTATCTTTGCAAGACTTCTGGTTCAGGGGTCTGATTGCAATATCGCTAATAGTTCGGAAGTTTATTTGCTCATTTTATCTTTTAATAACTATACGGATAATATGTAACACAATTATTAACGATTTCATTTTTATACTTCGCAATAAAATTCTCGTTTGATCAGAAAATATCATATCATATGGGATCGGTTTAGATTGAATTGGTCTTAAATTTATTCCTGATGTTCTACATGCTAGTAACATGTTAGTACAATCATTTTTGAATGTTCTAGGCTGATTAAAAATGATTGTACGAACATGTTAATAGTATGTATTAATAACATTTTTTATCCGACGAGCTTTAAGCACATTTCACATTTTGTCTCTACTTTCTCTTTATCCACTTTTGATACATACTTGATTAATGTTTTTAGGTCATTTGTGCATCTTTCGTTCAATTTCTTGACACTCTTGGGATGATTTTAACCATCATAAATTTTGAAATAAGGATCATAGATGGGTGAAAAGCAAAGTAATCTAGAAGAATGGTCAAATTCAAAGATAGAATCAAATGTGGAACTAGTGGGATACTCGTAGGACCAAAATGTGAGAATGGTTAAACTCTCATTCGTTGTTGGTTTGAGAATGAACCATTTGATCGAAATCTTGCAAGCCGATTACAGTAGAATTATTCCCATTCTCAAACTTGCAAGAAGATATATAGGATGGGTGCTTATAGAATAAGAACAGTTTGTAATGCACGTACTAATCAACCTCAAATGAAATATTTTTTGAGTAAATTATTTAATTAAGTTTGAAGTTCATCAAATAGAGATTCAGGATCTGCTATAAATAATGAAAGAATATAATGAGTCGGTTTGATCAAAGACATGGAAAACAAATGAAGAATACAAAGGCCCATTTCATCTTATTGGAAAACCTAACGAAAAAAATAAATTTGATAAAGGGTTGGGAATTGGAATGCTTCATTAATTTGTGGAAGAGTTTTGAGTCACGAGAAAGAATGTGGAAAGTGACTTTTAAGATGACATGACTGAGAAACAGGAGGCTAGAATGAAAAGAAGGCACATTCATCTTTTTGGGAGATCTTAACTTTTGACTTTGTGTTTATGAAAAGATTTGTTTGGTTGAGCTTTAAAAGGAAAATTAGTTTTATGAGCTTGATCAATAAAGATGCAATTGTCACACATGTTAATATATTGTTGGCCCAAACGTTTTTTGTATATTAATAATGGTCAACACACTTTCTAGCAGCCCACTACACTGTACCCATTTATTTGTTTGGCCTATCAGTATTTTTTCTCTTCCGTTAGACTTCAAACTGAACTCATTATTGCCTAGTGATGAGTTGTGTGTGCAGTGTATTATTTGAGTGTCCTTCTAATAAGACCAAAAATCCTATGCTATAAGGACAGCCCCTACACCCATGCTTGTGGGTGTGGTGCGAGAAGAGAGTTGAGAGCAGTGTGTTCTCCTTCCCTAAGTCCCCCCCTTTGTGTGTGAGCATGGTGAGATGAGTGAATCCAGTGAGTGAGCCAAACTATCCATCCTTCTTGGTGAGGTGAGTGTGAGTGTTGGCGAGGTTAGAAAGGTGTGTTGCTCCCTTAGCCTAGGTGTGCACAAGAGACAACCGGAAAACCGAGCTCCGGACTGCCTGAGCCGGAATACGTCGACGGAATCGATCCTCAACAGTGGTATCAAAGCTTGTGTTGTCTTCTCCGTCGATTTCGCCGGATTCTGCCAACCGCCGCCGTCCGCCGCCGTCCTCCGCCGTCCGCCGCCGTCCGCCGCCGATTCGAGGTCTGAAGAACTGCCCCCAAGAAGTTCAATTGCCGCTTGATGTTGAATCGCCGTCCAAAAGCTGAAGGTTGGTGTTGAAATCGTTCTCGCCGGAAATCACTGGAGGTGGTCGAGCGCCGCTGCAGGGAGTCGTCACCGGAGAGAGAGCTCGCCGTTCGTCGCTGGTTTGCTGAGCTTGAGGCCGGGATCTGGAATCCCATTCGCAGGGGCTAGGTGCCTCATCCGCCATCGATTGAAGGACTGGAAAGCCGTCAACATAGCTGGGCTCGTCCGCCGCTGGATTGAACCTCGAGCTTGAAGCAGACGCTGGAACTGGACAAGAGCTTGAGGCCTGAAGTCGTTCGCTTGGAAGCCAACCCATGTGTTCCTCGTTGCTCGCAGAAGGCCTGTAGCAAACCACCTTTACTGGACGCTGAGGACTGGAACGAAGGCTGAAGCTTGGACGGAAGTTGAAGGCCGGATCTGGAAGCTTCGCGCATTCACTGGAGCACGGCTGGACCTGGGCGTTTTGGCTGCTGGGAGCTTACTGTACTGCTGGGCTTCAACTTGGGCTGGATTTGAGATGCACTTGGACTGGCTAGAGCACTGGAGCACAGGCTGAAGTTTGAAGCAGAGAGAAGACTTTGTGCTGGAACTGAGCTGGTCAACTGCTAGTCAAACTTGGTCAACGGATAGTCAACGGGCAGTCCACTCCAGTCAAACCTTCCGAAAATCCCAATTTTTTAAAATTGGGTGGGTAAGGTCGAAACACCTCTCCTAGGGTTTCGCTCCGGTATATTGACTTTAAACCTTTTTATCGCTTTTGTAGTGATTTTTTAGTCTTTAATTGTGTAGAAATCTGTTTTAGGTTTATTACTGCTTTTAAAATTGTTTGAATTGTTGTGTTGTTCTGTGCTGAAAATTTATTATTTATTCATGCTTATACGGAAGAACAAGGGGTTTGAAGTTGAGTTTGGTGCTCATTAATACTCCCCACGTGTTCGTGCTAGTTGCTCCGTATAGTTGTAGCCTTATAAATATTTAAAGTGTTTTTCAGCGAAATTTACATTTTCTTTTGTTGCTTATTTTTCTCTGTGAAAATGTCTGCTTATAATCAGTATGGTATGGCTCCATTTAATGGAAAATCTGATTTTAGCATTTGGAAGCAAAAAATTAAATGTATTTTAATACAACAAAAATGTTTTAAAGCAGTTGGCGAAACCTATTTAATTTCTGACACAGAAGAGAAAAGGGCTGAAATGAATGAAAATGCATGTTCTGTGATTTATTTGAACTTATCTGACTCTGTGATTAGAAAAGTTGGAATTTTAGAGAGTGCTAAAATTCTGTGGGATAAATTGAATGAACTGTATACTGAGACCTCTTTGCCTAACCGGATATTTTTACTTGAGAAATTCTTCAAATTTAGACTAGATATGTCTATAGATATTGAAGAAAATCTAGATGTTTTTACCAAACTTATTTCGGATATTAAGTTGTGTGGTGATAAGCATATAGATGATTATTCCCCTATTGCTCTTTTAAATGCTATTCCTGATTCCTTTAGTGATGTGAAATCTGCTATTAAGTATGGTAGAGATAATGTCTCTTGACATTGTGGTAAATGGTCTTAAGAGTAAGGAATTAGATTTAAAACAGATGGGTGAGGGTAGAAAATCTGAGGAGGTTATGCATGTGAGGGGTAGAGAAAATAATAGTAGACGACATAGATCTAAGTCTAGGTCTAATTCGAGACGTTGCTATTATTGTCATGAACCTGGTCATTTCATAAGAGACTGTCCTAAATCTAGGAAAAATGAGCATAGTGAGCATGCTAATTTGACTACGTGTGAAGATGATTTAGGTGATGTTTTTATGACAAATCTATGTGATTATGATTACTTGAGTTCTGTGATATCTGATTCTTTGAGTAAATCAGATTGGGTGGTAGATTCTGGTTGTACTTTTCATATGTCCCCTTTGAAAAATGTTTTTTCAAACTATAGAGAGATTGAGCATGGTTTTGTGTCTTTAGCAAATGAGAAGGAATGCAATGTGCTAGGAATAGGAGATGTATGCCTTAGGTTTTCTTCTGGTTATGTGCTTACTTTGAAGAATGTTAGGCATGTTCCTGAGCTGTGCTATAATTTGCTATCTTGTGCTTCTCTTGAAAATGAGGGTTTGAAAGGAAAATGGGGAAAGGGAATCATGAAAGTTGTGAAGGGTTGTTTAGTTGTTTTCAAAGCTGAGATGAAAAACAACTTGTATGTTTGTCATGCTGAACCCGTACTTGATTCTGTGAATTGTGTGCAACTCTGTGTGCTAGGAAAACAGTCTAGAGTTGGTTTTCCTGATCTGCCTAAGTGTACTAATGTGCTTGATTGTATTCATGCTGACTTGTGGGGTCCTTATAGTGTTTCCACTCATGGTGGGAAAAATTATTTTCTGACGTTTATTGATGATTTTTCAAAGAAAGTGTGAGTTTTGTTGATTGAAAATAAATCTGAAGTTTTTGATAAGTTTAAAAACTGGAAAACCCTTGTTGAAAAACAAACCGGTAAGAAAATTAATTTTTTAAGGACCACAGTCACTTTTGATTTCTGTGATGATCAGCTTGGTGATTTATGTGATACTTGGGGTATTTCTATGCATAAATCTGTTCCCTCCACACCCCAACCGGATGGGGTTGCTGAGAGGATGGTTAGAACTTTATTAGAGAGGGTGAGGGCTATGTTAGCTTCATCTGGGCTCTCTAATAAGTTCTGGGGGGAAGCTATTTGTTATGCTGTTGATTTGGTTAATATGTCCCCGTCTGTTCCCTTAGGAGGGAAATGCCTTGAATCTGTGTTCATGGGCAAACCACTTGACTTGCCAAATTTGAGAGTGTTTGGTTGTGCTGCTTATGTGAATCGTGTGAATGATAAATCTGAACCTAAGACTAAGGAATATGTTTTCTTAGGATATCATGATTGCATGAAAGGTTATAGGCTTTGGTGTAGGAGTGAAACTTGCTTCAATGTGTTGATG